AGTCGCCAGTTCTCAGCTTCCAGCTCCACAGATTGCTCCGCGTACTAGAGTTGTACTAGACAGTCGCCAGTTCTCATCTTCCAGCTCCCCAGATACTCCGCACACTAAAGTTGCACTAGAAAGTCGCCAGTTCTCATCTTCCAGCTCCCCAATCGCACTCTCGCCTGCATTTTGCGCACTCGACACGCACGATCTCCGCAGAGGGTTGCGCCGGACCGGGTCAAATCGCACTCTCGCCTGCATTTCGCGCACTCGACACGCACGATCTCCGCAGAGGGTTGCGCCGGACCGGGTCAAATCGCACACTCGACGCGCACGATCTCCGCAGAGGGTTGCGCCGGGCCGGACCGGGTCAAATCGCACTCTCGCCTGCATTTCGCACATCCGACACGCACGATCTCCGCAGAGGGTTGCGGCGGACCGGGACAAATCGCACTCTCGCCTGCATTTCGCTCGTCCGACACGCACGATCTCCGCAGAGGGCTGCGTTTCGTGGCGGTCCGGCGTAAGGCTGCCCCCGGCCTTAAGAGAGAAAGTTAAGAAGAGCGAGAGGTGAAGATGTGAGATGTAGATGAGAGGTAAAGATGTGAGATGTAGATGTGAGGATGTGAAGATGAGCAGAGATGTAGATGTGCAGATGTGAACATGAGCAGAGATGTAGATGTGTGAAGATAAAGATGAGCAGACATGTCGATGTGAGGATGTGAAGATGTGCAGAGACATAGGTGAGAATGAAGATGTAGATGAGACGTAGTTGTGCAGACGTTTTTTACGAAGAACCCTTCGCAGATGCTCTCGGGAAAAACTAAATGCAATGTAATGTTTATAGGCCTTGCTCCGTGCAAAGTGCGCAGGTCGTTATGGCATGGCCAGGGAACTTATGCAGTTGGGCACTCGGCGGGTGTGAGGCAGCCATTTCGCTTTAAGAACCGGCGTCCTGGTGTAAAACCATGTCTGTGGAAGATGAGAGGTCTGAATAGCTGGCTTGACAAATCCGCAAAAAATCTTTTCAATGAGCATCAGGATCTTGAAACAATTACCCTGCTTGTGGCTCCAAGGCGCCATCTCCCATTCCTGGCCAACTATTCGCTCCTTGGCTCCGAGAGTCTAGACAGTCAAGAGATCACTTTGTTTGTCAATTTTCTTTAAGACTGACCTGCCTTTGCTTTTGTGAGGCTCGGTGAGGTCTGCCTTGACCTCAGCTCTGACAGATTTCTACTTGACGAGCAGCAGTAAAAGAACATAGTCAATCTTTTTTACACTTTAGCTAGGCCTCAGTTGTGTTGGATATATTTGTCAGGTCACATTGTCCAGCTTGCTATCCAGCACCGACGGCTCATGCCCTGGCATTTTCTTGCTCAGAGAGTTTTGTGCTCGCACTTCCCAGTATGTTAAGCTTCTCAGTCACAAGTTTGACAGGCTAATTGTGTACCATCGCAAAATGTTGAAGTGCAGCCCTCAGGGAAGCTGTAGCATCGCCCTTTTACTAATTGTCATCGGCTTCATGCCCTGTTGGTTTCGTTGTTCAGACTCATCTTGTTGCACGAGACAACACATTTGACAAAAAATTTGTACATGTACTTTGGTCGGTCAGTGGTTGCCTTTAATTACTATCCCGGCAAGAAACCCCACACAGTATGTGTAAAGGTCTCAGGTCCAGAGATGTAGAAGCAGAAGGTCTAGAGATCTAGACGCATTGGGCTCCAAAAAGACGTGATGGTGGTGATCGTGGTGGTGGTGGTGATGGTGGTGGCGATGAAGGTGGTGCTGGTGGTGATGGTGGTGGTGGCGATGGTGGTGAGGATGGTGGTGGTGGTGGTGATGGTGGGGGTGATGGTGGGGCGATCAGACACCCGTCCGGGTCCTTAACAACTATATACCGCAAGAACCCCAAGTGTGAAAACACTGCTTGGGGAACATTTGAGTGACCGTCAAAGCCCCGCAGAACTCACAGGGGTCAAGCCAAAACCGATTATTTTCCTGGCAAGGAAAATAAGTTCACAGAGCGAACCCAAAGCACCCAGAATACATTTGACACTAGGGACACACAGGAAGTCCTCGTGTTTGCCACTCAGATGGATGCTGAGGCCAATCCAGACAGTGCTCTGCCAACTGTCCCCTGATGGAACTCCGCTGAGAAGATATAGAGAGTGCACACATGTAGTTCAAAGGAGATGTGATGGGTTCTGTGGGTTTTTATGAGCCGTTAGCTCCTGGATTCGTAACCTGATCTTGAATCCGGGCCTTTCTGATGTTTTAATTCTGAGGAGCAGATAACACAGAGGTGGGTTGCACAAGCACCAGCTAGATGTTTGCATGCAACATTGCAGGGAACAATTTTTGGCCTGACCCACAGGGTGAAGAGATAAAAGACATGGATGATTTGATGTTGGCCCTTTTCCGCTGCTTAGCTGCACGTTTGCATGCAAAGAACATGTGCAAGATTCCTTAGCATCTTGACACATTTTAAAGTATCCTGAACTTGGCTGCTGGGAGTCAAGTATTTTTGGGTTTCCTGAAGGTATGCTGCTGCACCACCCGTCGGGCATCAGGCTTTGTCGGTCTGGATCCTGGACATACTGTACACCTGGACATACTGTACACACACATATTATACAATTATTATATATGCATGCAGTTACTAATATGTGTATACATATTATGTGCTCAATAAGGTTGCCCAAGGGTTCAACTTGTAAGATTGCTGGCTGCTAAAGAAATGTACACATGATCTTCAGCATGATTTGGTTGATTGGAGTGACTACTTCATTGATCCATGGGTGCTAGATCTTTGTGATAGCACCGAGGATGAAGCAAATGATCAAACACGAGTTCCAAAGGAAACTCTCTGAGATGGCTTTTCAGGCGCGCCTGATGTCCACATGTTTTGAAGAAGACGGCAGAAAACATGTGCATTTAGGTCTACAACACACACATACACAAGATGTAGATCCGCTGAAACTCTGAATCATCTGTGTTGAGAGTCTGCTTGTGATTACAGTGCTCTTTGCAGTGTACCAAGCTTATCGAGCTCTTCAACGAAGAGCCTCTCAATAAAACCTTTGTCCTGGACACTGAGAATGATGGAAAGTCCTTGGCCACAGCTGTGAATTTTGTTGCCAATGCATCCGACCACCAAAAGACGACTGAATAAACATTTAGACTTCCGGAAGCTTTGCATGCTGTCAAGTGCCCCATCAGCTTCTGAGGTCAATCTACGTCCGTCTGGGCAACCCAGAGACGTTTTCGGATCACGTCAAGCGCAACTTGACTAAAATAGCCTGTCCAGTTTAGACATACTACGCTCAATGCACAAAAGCGGTGAGATAGAGATACAGCAGAGAGAGAGAGACAGATTGATTGATTGATTGATTGAGTGAGTGAGTGAGTGACTGACTGAGTGAGTGAGTGAGTGAGGGAGTGAGTGAGCGAGTGAAGCCAACTTCCTCGTGTGATGTCCAACACGTGAAGAGAAACCACGCAACAAACCCAAAGCAAGCAACATTGCAGGCTTCGCTTGCCTAAAGCCTATAGCTATCAACCTCTGAAGAATCTCGTGTCGTCGTTTCATGAAGATGGCTTCTGAAGGGCTGCTGATGCCCTACCCCCTTGACCCATACAATCTCAACCCAACCAATATAATTACTACATCGCCCAGAGCGTACCAATTTGCTAGGGTTGAACCCTTGAACCTGTCACTTTATGCACTGGAAACTCTTCCCACAGCTCCATGAGTAGCGGAAACGTGGCAAGAGCCTACAAATCTTCACCGGTAAGACACTGTTACAGTAATTCACCAGCAGTAGCAAAGAATTCACCTGCCACTCCACCAGGGCAGAGAAGTCACACCAAATCACCGCCGTCAATACGATCAATACGTACAATTTTTGCCAAAAGTAAGAACCCAGCACTTCGGCACCAGCAGTCAGAACTTTTCACGCCGCCAACAGTATTGACAGCTTATCACAATCCCATGTTGACTATCCGGACATGCACAAGAAGTAGAACTCAAGACACGCTGCCAACACAAATGGAAAGTTATTGATGCAAAACGCAGAAAGAAAGAATGAAAGAAAGCACGAAAGACAGAACGAAAGAAAGAAATACAATAATGAAATAAAGACAGAAATACAGAGAGAAAGGAAAATAGAGAAGGAAGGAAATAATAACGAAAGAAAGAAAGACAGACGGACAGGCAGACAGGCTCCAACGCCCAACCCCACTTCGATAAGCGCTTCAATAAGTGTATCGAGGGGTGTACGGGGAGCGCCAACGTATTCGTTGGTTGCACAGGTTGCGGAGACTCATGTACAGCTTGTATGGTGTGTTGTACCTCCAACTAGTGCAGGCATTACATGTTCAATATGTATGTCATTCTGATGCTGGATTGGGGTTTGAATGATTTGATGAGATTTTGGGATCGCCAGATGCATGGGAATGCGTGCGGAAATCTGTCCTTAAACCTGTTTGGTGGCCGTTTCCCAGCCCTGTCCATTCGTGAACCTGGCATCAGGGTTATGACAGAACCTTGAAGCCGCCGGCTCTCAGGTATCTATGCCATGGCAAACACTTTTGAAGCGAAGCAGGTTGGGGAAAGACATTAAGTGCATCGCTACTAGTAACAAGTGCATCGCTACTAGTAATAACAAGTGCCTTACTAGTAGTAACTAGAAGCTATTAGAAACAAGTGCCTTACTAGTAGTTAAAAAAAAAAAAAAAATTGGAATTGTAATTACTGATGATGTTGCATTTTCGTTCTATTGCAGGCGTTGCCGGGCCTACCCGGGCAAGCCTAGGCAGAAGGAAAGTTGGGCACCCAGAAATGCTATTTGGTCTGTTGGTCAGTGTCAGTGACATCAGTGTACACAATCGGATAGTAAGCTAGTCAGCCATCGAAGTGAAATTCAATTGCCTGCCTGAGGGTATGACTGCACCCTGGTTGGTGCCCTTGGGGCCACGAAGAGGGCACTAAGGCCTCTGATCCGGTTGAAGTGCTGCTCTCATCTTCCAATCCTGGGCACCATTTACTTTTGCCGTAACATGTTTTACAAAGACTCACGCCCGTGCCATTTTTGGCAAGCGTTTCCGGCGGGCGTGACCACCAGTCCCTCTGTTGCAGTAAAGGCACCCAAAAAGTCTTTTAACTGGTGCTTTCCCAAGAAAGCATCATGTCAAGCACATTCTTACAGTTAGGATCCCAACAAGAACAAGCAAAAGTGATTTCGCAGGACAATCCAGTCGCACTCATTCAGATCCACGCCAAATCAGATCGGCATCTTCGGAGTGCCATAGCGTTCTCGGCACTATGTATGGTGTACATCCAGGTGTCATAGGGCCACCAAGCTATCCAACTTACTACTGGTCATATGATTGCAACGTTTCTTGTTGCAGCGGAGGTTTTCTTGACACAGTTGCAAGCTGCCCGCAGGTGTGGAGCAAAACAGAACTGTTGACCATGCTCCCATCACCACACAGAATCACAGAATGCCGAAAGTTCGCACAAAGGCTTGCGATGGTCTCTCACTTGTATGGTATCCAAGGACAGGTAACAATGGCAGATCTTTGCGCTCTGCACCATTCGGATTTTTTCTGAGAGAGTATTGAGTATTCTGAGAGTTTTGATCCTACTGGACAGTTTTCCAAGAACGCTGGTGAATTCATTGCATTCATATACTGTAATTGATCCAAATGATGCACTGATCTCTTGAGATGCTGAATCACAGCCAGAGCTGCCATTGGAAGTTGGATTGGAATGTGCGACAGCCTGTCGTAGCATGTGGCATTCGCGGACTGTGAATTCGCCGATTACAAGGCAAATTAGCATGTGGCACAAGACCGCCAAAACCCGTTCCATAGTTTCCCAACCCTGCTGTTGCATAGACTTGTTAAGATCGTATTGATTTACAAGAAATTGATTCGTAATTAATGGAATATTGCAGACAATTGATTTATTGAGATTGTTGGGAAACAAAAAGTAGTTCGCCCAGGGCGTGAAACTGAAGTTTTTGGCACGCTATAAGGACAAATATATCAAATTAATATATATATATATGTATTTACATATCTATATTCATGGGGCTGACGCCCACCAGCGGGCCAGCAGGCCCCCAACCATCAGAGGTTGTGTGTTGTTGTTGTTGTTGTTGTTGTTGTTCGTCGTGGTTGTTGTTGTTGGTGTTCGTCGTGGTTGTTGTTGTTGGTGTTCGTCGTTGTCGTTGGTGTCGTTGGTGTCGTTGTTATCGTTGTCGTTGTGGTTGTGATTGTGGTTGTGGTTGTTGTTGTTGTTTGCATGGACGGGGATTGGGAGGGGGGGATTTCTTAATAGCACCCTTTTCGGAGGTGGTTGATCGTCCCGATTTATGTGGAATTAAAGATTAGGAAAATCGTTGTCGTTGTGTAGTTGGGGTAGATTATTTAATTATTGGTCTGGATTGATTTGGGGGAAGAAATAATTAAAAATTATGATAAATTAATAATTATTAATATATTAGAATTATTTATTTGTGAATATTATATTTTTATAAAATATATATAAGAAATATAATAGAATTATTCTTTTTAAATTAAGTTAAATGTAATTCTTTAGAATGGATATATTTTTCCCTACTAGGTAAGGATTATTAAATTTTATTAAAACTGTTTTTCCTCCGCCTCCGCTTTCGCCTTCGCCTCCGTTTTCGCCTTTACTTTCGCCTCTTTTTCTTCTTTTTTCTTTCTTCGCTAATCTGCTTCGCCGATTTTATTTGGTTAGCTCGGCTCGTAGTGTGCATTCTTGGACCTTAATCGTAAGGATTCGATCGCAATGTACACTATTGGATTTTAACTAGAAAATTTGCTAGATACAATCCACAAACCCATAATTTCAAATACACGACCACAAACGCGCAACCACCATAAACGCGTAACCACCACAAACTCATAATCACAAACACAATTATAAATACACAACTACAAACACAAGTACAAAGACACAATTACAAATACATAACCACAAACACAAAACTATAAACACCTAACCACAACCATACAACTACAAACACACAATCACAAAGACAATCACAAACACAATCACAAATACAATCACAAGTACGCAACTACAAACACAATCACAAATATATAATTACAAACACAACTACAAAAACACAATTACAAACACCCAACCACAAACACACAAACACACAAACACACAAACACACAAACACACAACCACAAACACACAACCACAAACACAACCACACATACATCTACAAACACAACCACAAACACATAACCACAACCACAAATACAAACACACAATGACAAAGACACAACCACAACCACAACTACAAACACATAATCGCAAAGACACAACCACAACCACAACTACAAACAAACACATAATCACAATCACTACTACTACCACAAATACAACCACAAACACATCCACAAACTCACAACCGTAAACACAACTACAATAAACAATCACAAAGACACAACCACAACCACAACCACAACCACAACTACAAACACACAATCACAAAGACACAACCGCAACCACAACCACAACTACAAACACACAATCACAACCACTACCACAACCACAAATATACAACCACAAACACATTACACCACCGTAGACCCCCAAACAATTTGTGTTTTTCAACATCGAAACTAGAGCTTGGACAAAGGATTGCGCAAGGCAGAGGCGGCCACAGCAGCCTAGAGCTGGGAGACAAATGTAAAGGGTTGCAAGGCAGAGACGGACACAGCCGTACAGAGCAGGCGGACATATCTTAAGAAAAGAATTGAGAAGCCCTAAACCTTTTGGGGAATTATTCTTCAAATGCGAACATGATGCTGGTCATGCTGCTCAATCAGCGGGGAGCTGACCACGTGAGGACAAGAAACAAAAGCATGAGGAACGAAGGATGTGATATGACATTGATTTTTGGTGCCTGACGTATGCCCTCCGTCCCAACTGAACAGAGAGATCGTTGCCACGCCGCCGAAATCCAATCCGGTCATTCATCCAACGCTTGCCCGAAAAGGAAAACAAAGCTGAGAGAGTTACACACTGCGGCAGGAATGCAACCCCGGAGACAGTCACACACCCATTTCAAAGGAGCAAGAACCTTTCACAGGTGAACCTGTTCCAGCGGACAGGGCAGAAAACACCAGTGCAGGCACCAAACCTGAAAGACAAAAAGAAAGAAATCACATGGGAGACAAATGAATAGAA